TCTATCACTGACTTGGGCATGTTACATTGTCTCTTGATTCCTTTGTTTCTCCTTCCATGCTTTGTCTGCCTTACTATTTCAAAGGTAAGCTCCTTGGCATAGGGACAGTCTTATACTCTGTGCAGTGCTTGGAACAATGGGGCCTGGATCTCAGTTGGGACCTCTAGCGGCTTGTCTACATGGGTACTGAACACTTGTGGCTGGCCGATGTGAGCTGACTCTGGCTTGTGGGGCTCAGGCTGTACAACTATGCTGTAGATGTTTGGGCTCGGGCTGGATCCTGAGATGGGAGGGTGCCAGAGCTTGGGCTGCAGCCTGAGCCCAAACATCTACACTGCAATTAAACAGCCCCACGAGCCTGAGTCAGCTGACTCCGGCCTGCTGGGGGTATTTAATTGCTGGGTAGACATACCCTAGGTTGTTCTGTAATACTCTACTAATACTGTACTATACTAATAGTGCCTTTTTCCATTGGCCACTGTCACTACGAAACAGCCTAGACTGAAGCAAACACTTCTCCGGGCCCTGGCACATTGTAATGCTCAGTGGCTGATGCCGACTAGGAGGCAGCCTAGAGTCCACATGTGCATGTGTGGTCAGGTAGCGGGGGGTGGGTGGGGTGGGGTTCAATTGATATCAGAAGCCTCCAGGACAATGGTCTGAGCCATCTTTTGTCCTACACCAATGTAGGGCCCTCCTGCTGGTGATGGTCAACATGATGTTTGTATGCCATCTTGGCCCCATCTAGGTTTTGTCTGAACAGTTCCTTTGTTTGATGGATTTGATGAAGCAGGTCTGAGACTGTAGGAGCTGTGGGTGTTGTAGGCAGTTTGGGGTGGAACTAGCCATGGAAGCCAGAATTTGTAAAGAAAAACAGGCTTATGTTGGTTGAGGCATGGTCTTGTTGTAGGTGAATTCCACATGCGGAATCAGTGAGGCCTAGTCATTTTGGTGATAGTTTGTGAAGCATTAAAGGTATTGTTCTAATACCTGGTTTACACTTTCTGATTGATGTCAGTTTGTGGATGGGAAGTAGCTGATGCATGGAGACACACCTATAGTAGGCGGAACACCTCCTGTCAAAACCAAGACATGAACTGGGAACCCCGCTGTAAGGTGATGTGGTCTGGGAGGCCATGGAGGCAGAAAATGTGTGTGATGAGGAGACAAGCACTATCCTTGGTAGCAGGAAGATGTGCACAAGGAATGAAGTGCACCATCTTTGTCAGTTGATCCACTACTGTCAGTATGGTATGGAATCCCTCAGACTCTGGCCACATTTAATGCACGGAAGTCTATTGTCATTCTGCAAGTAATCCCATCCGCCTTAAGGACTGACCATACAGGTGAATTTGCAGATACTTTGCATAGGCACGAGCACCTCTTGTTCAAGAGAGTCTATAGTATTTTTAATGCCTTCCTCTGCTGCAACTGGGTATTTATATTGCCTTTGAGGATGGGGATCTTTTCCCTCTATCAAAACTTCAGCATCTATTTTTCCCACCGACACGCACTCCCTAGGAGCTCTCTTGGGAACTTTTAATTTCTCCAGAGAGTTCATTGAAATGTTCTCTGACAAAGCCAAGCCTCTGTACCAATTATTAAAGAAAAACAGGATTTGGGAATGGGGACCAGACCAACAGACTGCCCTGGCTTATCCTGACCCTGCCCTTTGTGATTTAATTGGCCTCCTCAGAGACAAGCGTCTGAGTTACTCTTAACCAAAGGCATTGCGACAACCTCAGAGCCCTGCTGCCTGTGGTGGCTTGGAGCTCCGGGGCCCCGGCTGACTGACAGCTCCAGTCCTGCCACCCCAGGGAAGGGAAAATGTCACTGAGGTCTCTGAAAGTCACGGAATCTGTGACTTCTATGACAAAAATCTTATCCTTACTGATGACTTATCTGAAGAGAAGTGTATTGACCCTCCAGAGGGAATAGTTTCAGAAAAAATATTTTTCCAATACCCATTACACAATGAAATGTGAAACCTCAGTGAGAAGGAGTTTGGGACAGTGATTCCTAATGAAGAAAGGAAACTTCCCAGGCTGAGTTCCTGGTAACTACACCCCAGGGCATGTGTAGGAATTTTTCCTTTTCACTTACAAAGGGATCTAAATAGTTCATCTAAGTGGCAAAGAGTTTGCCTCTGAGGAAATAATTTCATCAGTTCAGGTTTACCTTGATAAAGTAATAAATGGGAGATGCACAAAACAGCTACATTAGCAAGCTTACAGCGGCACAGCTGTACCAATGCAGATGCGCCGCTATAAGGTCACTCATGTAGCCACTATATGCTGACGGGAGAGAGCTTTCCTGTCGACATAATTAAAGCAACTTCAATGAGGTGATAGCTATGTCGGTGGGAGAGCATCTCCCGCCGACATAGCGCTGTCCACACCAGTGTTTCTGTCGGTGCAACTTCTGTCGTTCAGGGATATGTTCTTTTTCACACCCCTGAGCAACATAAGTTATACCAACAAAAGTATAGTGAAGACATAGACTAAAACATTTCATTCACAAAATAGACATACTACCTGCTTAACCCTAACCCTAAGAGACTTTATGTTTGGTAAAAGAAAAATCGCTTGTTTGGCTCTGATGTATTACAAGCAGGAGTTTCATCAAATACAAAAAAAATTAAGCATTTAAAGCATGGCTTTGCAAGTCAGAATGGAAGTCAGTGCCTCTTTCTAATCATTATCTGCCAGTGTGTACAATCTAAACAGAATACATGAACTGGCTAGTGTATTCAGGTAGGCCCATGACAAGCAACTGCAGAAGATGAACAGCCTGACAAATACAATTTTGCTCTTTGTTATGAAGTTGCTTCAAAAAGTTTCATAATTAACCATCCCACCCAAAGCTATTTCAAGTCTCATTCTAACTATATTTCTGCTGTTAGGGACTGCTGAAAGAACAGATGCACTTGCCAAGCATTTAATAACAAAATTCCAACCTTGTGACACAAGCCTGGAAACTAAGCCTTATTCAACACAAAACCCTCAATTCCAGTAAGAATGTCACTATTTGATTGTGTCTGAGATTTTTACAGACACAAACCTCACACGATAACCGAAAGTTCTGTAGAGAGGCCCAGTGAAGTATGGGATGTATTCAGAGATCAAACACACATTCTCATGGACATACAGTGAAGAAGAATTATTGAGGCTGGGAAAAATAAGATTTTAAAAATAATCAGTTTCCTAACATGCCTTTTGATAATGTATCTCAGGGGTAGGCAACCTATGGCACGCGTGCCGAGCTGATTTTCAGTAGGTATCTCTTTAAAGAGCCTTTTTAGGAAAGGCTGAATATTAAGTGTCAGGACCAGAGTGCTCAATGGCTTACAGTAGCGAGTCCTTACGGATCCTCTAGTCAGTTGCTTGTTCACACTATTCCAAAGCACTTGTAAGGTTTAGTGCAATGAGGTGCATGGACAATACAGACACTCCTGGATGGCTTTAATAATAGCATTGGTACAGATGTGTGCTACATATGCTTTCAGCATACTTCTAGCACATGTCTTCTTGTTTAATATTACCTGTGTTTGGCTATATGGGTCCTACCCTCTGAATGGCCCTCTCTGCTCTTCCCTTTGCAATCAGCAGAAGCAGCAGTACAACATCTGGAAAAGTGAACAGGATGACAGCCCTTGGAAGAAGAGCACAGCTATCCCCCAGAAAGCCTGTGAAGTAGCAAAGGTCACATTCAGCCCGATGAGAACTGTATGAACAGCTTTTACTGAAACCTGGTAAATACTAAGGACTGCCACTGGTGCTTTACCTACTCCTTGAGGGGTATGGATCTCTAGCTGGGAAGCCTTAGAACTAGTGGTTACTAATCAGATTGCAGATATGTGAATCTGCAATCTGATTTTTAACATCACTGATCAGGCTTGGCCTTTCAGTAACAGCAGCTCCATTAGAAACTCAGAAATGGTACCTTTTGAGTTTACTTACAAGACTAGTTATTCCTCTACCACCTGATAAAATCCATCACTGGCTGGAATGCAGAGCAGTCAGTCTGCTCACAAATGTCTGGCTTGTTAAGAAAGATTGATGTTTAACAATTAAACTGATCCCAGCATGAGTCAGGAGCTGGATCAATGTTTAGCAACAGTGCAATCCTGTTCTAGTGCACTCCAGATTTAAACTACATTCTATGGATTTACTGGCAGTCCTCAAAAGAGAGAAAACCTTCCCTGAACTGACACAATACAAGTTATCCTTTGGGCTAAGTTTGCAACCAAGTTTTATTCAGTAATAGTCATAGACAAAAAAAATTGTAACCAATATTTAAGACAGAAAAAAAAAATCCATCATTTGCTTTATCCAAAAACCATGAAAACAATGCTGCAGTTTACACAAGACCCATAGAAAGTTTGGGATTCCAAATGAGAGTGCCACCCTACAACCTTCCTAAAAAGGTCTAAACTATGGAAATACACCATCATTTCAGCCACGCAAGACTAGCTGTACCCCGGTTGTGACACCTTGAGAACAACTAGAAGCTGTGAAACAACCATATCCATTCATCACTTAGGTTCATCTCATTAGTGACCACTCCATAATTGCTACAAGCACCTCCTCAAATCCCATGAAAGACACTTCCGTTCAGTAATGACACTTGGAGATGAAGTGAAGCTTCCTCATGAATTAGGAAATATAGTAACCAAAACAGTTTAGAAAACATCTGTAAAAAAGGGAACAAGGAAAAAAATCAAGCTTTGTATCTTTGAAACTCCTTGTGTGATTCTTCCCGGACTTTCCAGACAACTTCTATCCTGGAAAGAATTGTGGCATGTGCAATTTCAGGTAGATTGTTTTTTTCCAGTAAAACAAGGGATTTTTGAAAAAAATCAGACTTAAAAAGGTAAATTAGCTTCAACTTCAACTGTGGACTAGCACTCCTCCCCTATCTCAAGGACCAAATGCTGAATCATCATGATCTTTACCAATGCCCCATTTACCAGTTCAATACTGAATGTGTGTTGCACTTACCCTACGAAAAGATACCACGTAGAATGTATCCCCCCTTCTGTGAATAGCTTCAAAGAAGTCTTGGTAATTTCTCAGAGAGGCATAATACACCTGCAGCTCATTCCCTGAGTTCCTGTTGAAATAAAGAGGGGAGTTAAGAACCTTAAGTGAGATACCATCTTTAAGGGCTAGATTTTCAAAGAGCTCAGCATGCAGCAGCTCCAATTGTCATCTGGATCTTGTGTAATAGAGAGTATGAACAAGTGGGCATACAATAAGGGCTGCTGGATGCCAATCTCTTGAAAATCTGGCACTAAGAACATTTATATGAACATTAGGTAAGAGTAAACCAGAGGCAGGAATAAGAACAGAACGTAGGAATCCTAGCTACTACTCTTCTGCAAGTCTAGATTTACATATTATCATGGGTCTGGGGATGAGAGTTCTCTTCAGCATGTTTAAAATATTCTGAGCAAAAATACCTGCTTTCCTGACTCTGACAGCACTGCCTCACTGCTCTTGTAGGACAGTGAGAAATTCCCATGACATGTTGCTACCAAAAGTTTTCCCTAATTTATTTTTAAGAAATAAATATGTTCTCTAATTTGAGGGACTGATTTATACAATTCATTGGATTTCAGCATAACTTAACTTTCAAGAAGTTCTGCTTTAGTGGCACATCTTCTGCTTGCAGTACACCTCTACCTCGATATAACGCTGTCCTCGGGAGCCAAAAAAAATCTTACCGCGTTATAGGTGAAACCACGTTATATTGAATTTGCTTTGATCCACCGGAGTGCGCAGCCCCCCCACCCCGGAGCACTGCTTTACCGCGTTATATCCAAATTCGTGTTATATCGGGTCGCGTTATATCGAGGTAGCGCTGTATTTGCTGTGGTAATACCATAGCATATTGGCACAAAGCAGTACTGCATTCTATAAGCAGATACCATTGTCTTGGATTTTCAGATGATAGCATTGCTTTTACTGACCCACTTTAAAGTGCAATGGAAGCAATGGATTAGTTTGGTTTTATATTTCTAAAGTGTGCTACTTATGCAGCTCAGGGCACAAACACATTACAAAGTGATCTCTCTGCTGTGATACTATGTCGCACTACCTCCTGCTGCTAGTAACTGCTTGTACTGTTGTTGTGGTAGCAGCACTGCAACTGCTAGCCTAGCAGGATCCCACCCTATCATAGGGCTGGCTGAAGATTAGGTGATAAGAAAGTGCTGTGGGCATAACATATTAAGTCCATGGTGGGGGGGTTAATTTCCCAGGCAGGGTATGTTGGTTTTTTTAAACAAACCTTTAGAAATATGATTTTTAATAGTGGGGGAAGGATGGGCTGGCATGGGAGCTAGGAGCAAGAAATGGCAGCATTTTAGACGATAAAGGAGGTGGTCCCCCTTTCAATTGGAATGAAGATGTAAGCAAATAATAATAATTAATATCAAATAGCAATAAGCAGCAGGCATAATAGGACCATGACACTAGCACTGAGACATAGTATCTGTCTTACCATATAAAAGACATCACAAACATATTATACAATAAAACACATTGAAAAGAGAAAATATATTCCTCAAAATAAACAGGTTCAGCACTTCCTCACAAAACATACTAAATCTAGATCAGAAATAGAATAAACACTCTTCAAACTCTGGACCAACCTCTTCATTAGCCTCTGATTCAAAACCCAGTAGAATCCATGGGACCTTTCCAACGCTCTGCTGGTAGAGGTTTTCCATGGAACCATGCTAATACAGATGTCAGATTCTAAGTAACCTCAGTGGATTAACCCCCTGCCTTTCAGCATTTAAGTGTTCACAGTGAAGGCTGCTGAACAAGAGCAAAGGAAGGGACTTTGGCAAAAGAAGTCTGGAGATAGAGGCAACACTACCCATTGCTATAGTAATAGATTACCATATTACTGAAAAGCACCTTATTACATTGTATATCCAAATGCCAAGCACTTTGGAATTTTCAGAACCTGCACATTGCTTTTTACTGAATCAGGCCTTACACTGAAAAGAAAGCAGCATTTCTTTTTAATATCTAAAATGTGCTCAGTTATCACAGGCCACCACCACCATAGAAGGTGACTGTATTTATGATAAATCCATGCCATGAAGGGATGAGAAGTCTGATACATTGGTGTATGTACTGACTGCACAAATACACCTTTTACCAGCATGTAGTAGAGGAAGAGGGGGGAAATCCATAAAGCCCTTTATTATCTGACACCCCTTCCCCTGTGTATGTGCTTATAGATCCTCATCAAGTCACCTCTTAATCGTCTCTTGAACAAGCTGAAAAGACTGAGCTTTTTCAGTCTCTCACTGTAAGACAGGTCTTCCAGACCTGGAATCATCATTGTGGCTCTTCTCTGAATCCGTTCCAATTTGGCAACTTCCTCTTTAAAGTGGGAACGGAGTATGCTACTACTCATCTCACCAGTGTTCTATACAGAGGTGTAAATCATCTCTTTCTCCTGCTTGATATTCCCCCGGCCATGCATCCTTTGATCATGTTAGTCATTTCAGCCACAGCATCACTGGGGGAGCTCACATTCACGTGGTTCCCACCAGACTGTACGGTCCTTTTCAGTCACTGCTTTCCATATGAATTCCTTTGGAGTAGAGGGCAGCCATTCCCATGACTGAGAGTGACAGAGACCAGCATCACCCCGATAGTAGAAACGAAGGAACTTACAATGAAAGTTCCTGATCTGGATAGGCAGGGAAGCCATATGGCCATCCACATACAAGGCTTCCATGATTCCGTACCAGGAGTCACCAAGATTTTCCATGCATCTGTAGAGAGACTTTAGATATATTATAGTTTCCCACAGGCTGTGCCTCCTGGGCAATACAAATACAATAGAGCAGAGCAAGGGAAATCTCTCATCTTCCCTCTTATTGTCTTGTCTGGGACAGCTGCTTTATTTCATTCAGTATGGCTCAGTGCATCCGATTGTTGGAGGCTTGAGAGAGAGAAGAGAAACCTGCTCTTTGGGATCTTATCAATTCCAGGACACAGTCACTTCATAGAACTGCTGTGACTCTGACACTTCTCCTTCCCGGAACATCTCCTGGAGAGGTCAGGACCAAGGTAAAAGGCAGCTTGGCAGTGTCTACAAGGTCTCCACAAAAAGGCATGGATTTCTTGGTCAACACACTACCAGGAACAAAGGCAGAGCTGCCTCCTGAACACCACTCCTGGATGAGGCTCTCAGAGCATCCAAGGAAGCTCCAATATATAAGAGGCTGCCAGGGTGATCTTATGGAGTACAGACTTGACTCATTATTAGATTCATTCTAGTCATTTGTCTAAGCCAGATGGCCTTGTGAGGGCCTCGGAAGAGATGTATACTTGAAGGACGATAGTTAAAGCTTCATACATTTTCTGAGGGATGCCTCAATATGCCTATTGGTTTGGTGTTCAGGAAAATAGTAGGCCTGTGTCTACTGTGTAAGGAATTTGGAGAGAGTCATTTATCTTAGGGGAAATGACAGAACTTGGGAGCCTGTTTTTCAGAATATCTGTCTGTAGCTGGCTCTTCCCATTCAGATTGATCCTGCTTTCAAACAAGGAATGCAAGGGAAAGAACATAGTTTTCTTAGTCTCATTTTGAGCCTTTCCCCCCAAAAGGTCCATCCTCCATTCTGACCTTTCTTGTTCTCCTTTGTCTGCTAGGCTTGGAGTCCTAGCGTAATGGAGACCCTTTTAAACATCACCTCCAAGAATTCAGGAGGGACTAGTCTACTGGGTCTCATTCCTCCATCTCTTCCTTGGGAGTTATGGTGGGGTGCCCCTTTAAGGGACAGTCTGGCGCTTACAGCCAAAACAGCTTGGGCACAATCAAGGAGCCCTCTCTGGGGCTAAGCTAGATGAACAGGACATGGAAGCTGAGCGAGGGAGAGAAGAGACCAGAAGCCATGCTGGCTGCTATGGGTTGCAGAACCCCTTGGACTCCAGTTCGCTAGCCTGTTAAGACAACAGTGGCCTCACCGCCTCCTTGACTGAACCTCTGGGCTTTAGTCCTCCTGCTTCACCCGTGAGCTCGGTTCAGCAAGTCCAACTAAGACAGACTCCTGCTTGAGACTTGTCCACCCTTCAGGGATTAATGCACCTCAGCAAGTATTCGCAGTGACTCAAACAACACTGTCAAACAGTAGCCTGTATTAGTCCACTAGAACACAGCACAGGATGCCCGTTTGTTAGCACAGAGAAATAAAGGCTAAAGCATAGTCCATTCTGGTCAGCCCAGAGCCCAGCCAAGCTGTAGTGAACTCATGTTCAGGCTCTGTGTTTTTCTCTCCGTATCATCGTCTTAGTTCCCAAGTGAGAGAGCCTCCAGCTTCCTTCAGAATCCAACACTTATCCCTCACCTCACACCTTCCAATCCTTTGTTCTCGAGCTGGGGTCTATGCTCAGCTTTCCTGCTGAGAGGCGGGGAAAATCCCTTCCTTACTGGGTCACCGGATGCTAGGTGTCAATGTCCTGGTGATTGGGTTTTCCACTGTCTTCTCAGAATGGGCCTCGGCCGGTCCTTTTTAAATGACCCATTTTGGCTCAGACAGCTAGGTGACACACATACATGTATATCTCTCAGCCTGCCCTGAGAGCAAACTTAGTCCTTTTTCCCCACAGGGTATTCATGCAAAATATCTGGGAAACCGAGGCACACATAGACTTCATAAAAATATTACAGAAAATTCCCACTTTGTCATATCTTTTCCTCCTTCGACAGCAACCTAAGCAGGGTCATTTTACCCAGTGACCCATGGAAGTTCAAACCCACAATTGTTATCCATAGATGATCCAGCATATTTCTCATCACCTTGGTACCTGTTCTACCAGGCACTTCCATGATTCTTACAGCACAGTTTCTAATCAGTCAACTTACTGTTTCTAATCCACAGTTCAGAACAGTTTCATGTCTTCCCTTTCAAAAATTCTGTCACATAATTCACTCTCTGAGCCTGAACTGCTGGCTGCTTTCTTGGCTGCATAGAGTATGTGTCCGTCTCTCTGTCCCGGGCAAACCTTACTTCATCAATCCTTAGGCATTATACTCGGTTTCCTACAAATGTCGCATCTCAGGTCTTTACAATCTCTTAGCAG